CCCCCCCTCCTGTGGTTAAGTGTTATGCTGTTTGTTGTTGTTCATTTGTTCAGTCGTTTCAGACTCTTCGTGACCTCATGGACCAGCCCACGCCAGAGCTCCCTGTCGGCCGTCAACACCCCAGCTCCTTCAAGGTCACTTCAGGATGCCATCCATCCATCTTGCCCTTGGTCGGCCCCTCTTCCTTTTCCTTTTCCCCAGCATAATTGCCTTCTCCAAGCTTTCCTTTCTTCTCATGATGTGGCCAAAGTACTTCATCTTTGCCTCTACTATCCTTCCCTCCAATGAGCAGTCAGGCTTTATTTCCTGAAGTATGCACTGGATGGATCTTCTGGCAGCCCAAGGCACTCTCAGAACTTTCCTCCAGCACCACAGTTCAAAAGCATCTATCTTTCTTCACTCAGCCTTCCCTATGGGCCAGCTCTCACATCCGTAGGTGACTATGGGGAATACCATTGCTTTGACTATGCAGATCTTCATTGCCAGTGTGATGTCTCTACAATTCACTATTTTATCGAGATTGGTGATTGCTCTCCTCCCAAGAAGTAAGCGTCTCCTGATTTCCTGGCTGCAGTCTGCATCTGCAGTAATCTTTGCACCCAGAAATACGAAGTCTGTCACTGCCTCCACATTTTCTCCCTCTATTTCCCAGTCTTGTTGCCATAATCTTGGGGTTTTTTAATGTTTAGCTGCAACCCAGCTTTTGCGGTTATGCTGTATGCTCTGCCTACAGCAAGACACTGAACTAGCCCTTACTCAGGACATCTGTCATAACTCAACTTATGGAGAAGGAAGGCTCAGACCCAGAAGAAGGAACTTATGGCTCTTGGTGACAGTGGCCTCTATGAGTCTGAGGAGCTGGGGATTGAAGCAGATGGGGACCTACTGCCCAGTAGGATGTTGCAGGCAGTGAAAATATGCTGCCATCTTTTGAGGTTCTTGAAGAGATCAGGAGATACTACACCAATCCCAGCAGCTTTTAAGTAGGGAATGCTGACTCTTTAAGTCAGCATAGATCTATCTATCTATCTATCTATCTATCTATCTATCTATCTATCTATCCATACATACATACATACATACATACATACATACATACATAAACATTTCTTTGGGCTCCACAATAAACTTTTGCTTCAAAAAGGGCTCAAAAAGGGCTCTGTGGCTGAAAAAAACTGAGAACCCCTGCTTTAGCATATGCAAGATGAGGATATTGCAGATCACCAGCTACTTCTGGAATCTGGTTGTGGGCCCTCTTCCAGATCATGTGCACAGGAACCTAGAAACCCAGAGTCCGGAACTGGGCAAATAAGACAATTAAATGTAAACTCTTGTGTTTTGATCTTCCACTTACTGATTCGGGTTGTATGTTTATTGTAGTTTTACCAGTTATCATTCAAACTGTCCCTATATGTAGACATGTTTTCTGGATAAGTATGAGAAGAATATTATTATCATTGTTGTTAGGGCATGGAATAATGACAATTTATGTAAGCCGCCCCGAGTCCTCTTCAGGATGAAATGGATATAAATGTTGCAAATAAATAAACAAACAAACAAATAAGAATATTGAGAATGGGTTGAGTTAAATAAAACAGAATTCTGGCAGAAATAAAAAAATACAAATAAATACTTTTTGGTACTGTTTTATTATCCGGACAGAGGCCACTAGAGGGTGCTAGAGGAAGAATGATAGTCCATTTTATTGGCCGGGGGGGGGGGGGGGGGGGGGGGGAGGTGAGTAGAAAGAGGAAAATCATTTCCCCAGTTTTCACTGGTTATGCCCCTCACCTCTCCCCATATCATAAAGGAGGGTTTTTTCCATGAAGGGGACATGGGTGGGGGGAAATAACAGTAACGGGGATTAACTCCTTCAACCCACCCTCCTCCCCTAAATGGACTATTCTTCTCTCTCTAGCACCCCCTAGTGGCCTCTGCTCTGATACTATTTTTTTAATGAAGGGATTGAATAAGAATATTGAGAATGAAAGGAAAATACAATATGATTTTATAGAGAAACAAATACTTGAAATACAGCAATAGGCTATATGAAATAAGATCAATTTAAACGAAAAGCACAAAATACTAGTGAGGAATAATGAGGTGACAAGTTAAAGATAAAATGTTAAAATTATGAACTTCAGTCAAAATTAATTTGACTCGTGGTTATGTACTAATTTTAAATCTATTTGTCTATATTTAGCAGAAATTGAAATGTAACTAAATAGAACAGGGAATACTTATAATAGTTTGATAGTTGATTTTGTTTCAGAAGGGGAAAGTCAGTAGTGTTTTTTAATTTTAATATTTTATTTTATCTTTTAACAAAGGAAATAATTTATTTGTTCGTTTTAACTGGCAGGGGTAGGTGGAAGTAAGAGGGAGTGAATATTATAGGTTTATTTTTGTGCTAGATTATTTTTGTTTTCTATTTCAATGTCTTGTTTTTATTTTTTTGATTTGTTGAATGTAAGTCACTTCTTTGGAAATTTAATAAAAATTAATTTAAAAAGGAAATGCCGCATTCTTTAAATGGGAGTGACTACTTGACTGTGCCACCTTTAAATGGAACAGAAATATTAATTGGATGTTTCAATTCAAGCAATAAATAAGAAAGATTGACAATGTTACACCAGGAAATGTAACCTCATGTTGAATGCAGATATGACAAAGAAAAAAGGTTCACAGACTGGGTTGTTGTAGGTTTTTTCGGGCTATATGGCTATGTTCTAGAGGCATTATCTCCTGACGTTTCGCCTGCATCTATGGCAAGCATCCTCAGAGGTAGTGAGGTCTGTTGGAATGAGAAAAAATGGGTTTATATAGATGCAGGGGAAACATCAGGAAAGAATGCCTCTAGAACATGGCCATATAGCCTGAAAAACCTACAACACCCAGTGATTCCAGCCATGAAAGCCTTCGACAATACGGTTCAGACTGATTGGAAAGATGGTTCACAAACTGTGATTGACAAAATTTCATGACTTTTAGGGCACATAACTGTATCTCCAAATTGGTGTAAGACACGGATGCAGCTGCTGCCGATACATCTCCCAGCAGCTCCCTGGCACCTTTGTGGTTTACCACGTTTCTATTTTGGAGATTCCCAGTCGTCTCTGGTATTTGGGTTTTCTTGACATTAAACTGGCTATGATTGACAAATATATTTTCCTGCTTTCTAGCTTTGTTTGGGATACTGTTTTGCTGTAACGATTTTTGGACTATCTGATGGCCACATGCATGCTTCCCCTTTCACTTTGCAAGACAATTTATGACTAACCTGGATTAGATCAACTACTTGACACCTCTTGACTCTAAACTTGAGCGCCAGCTGCGCCCGTACCTTGGGAAGTCTGACTTGGCCACGGTAGTCCACGCTCTGGTTACATACCATATAGATTACTGCAACGCGCTCTACATGGGGTTGCCTTTGAAAACTGCTCGGAAGCTTTAAATGGTCCAGCGTGCGACAGCCAGGATGCTAACAGGAGTGGCACTCAGGGAGCATACAACTCCTCAGTTGCACCAGCTCCACTGGCTGCCAGCTTGCTACCGGGCACAATTCAAACTGCTGGCTTTAGCCTATAAAGCCCAAACCGGTTCCGGCCCAGCTTATCTATCTGAACGTATCTCTTCCTACGAACCCACCAGGAACCTGAAATCGTCGGAGGCGGCCCTACTCTCGATCCTGCCTGCTTCGGAAGCACGTTTGGCAGGGATGAGAGACAGGGCCTTCTCTGTGGCAGCTATGGAACTCCCTGCCTAAGGATATTAGATCAATCCCCTCCCTCCTGACCTTTCAAAAAAAGAGTGAAAACCTGGCTCTTCGAGCAAGCATTCGGAACCTCAGGATAAACAAACTTCAATCAGAAAATGACCCAGGAACAGTTAAGACTATGGAATGGGTGAGGATTTGAACGAGAGGCCATAGTTTTTAAATTTTTTATTATTCATTGTTTTTATGTCTCCAAATGTACACTGTTTCTTTTCTGTTTTTTTAATCAATGTATGTATTATATATATGGCATCTAGCAATGGAGCAAGCTTGTTTTCTGCTTCCCTGGAGACTAGGACACGGAACAATGGCTTCAAACTACAAGAAAGGAGATTCCATCTGAACATGAGGAAGAACTTCCTGACTGTGAGAGCCGTTCAGCAGTGGAACTCTCTGCCCCAGAGTGTGGTGGAGGCTCCTTCTTTGGAAGTTTCTAAACAGAGGCTGGATGGCCATCTGTCAGGGGTGATTTGAATGCAATATTCCTGCTTCTTGGCAGGGGGTTGGACTGGATGGCCCATGAGGTCTCTTCCAACTCCTTGATTCTATGAATTGTGCTTTGTATGCTGCCCTGAGTCACCTTCAGACTGATATGGGCGGGATAGGAATAGTGTAAATAAATAAACACCCGACCCATGGGCTGCTTAGGAATTTGCGTTGTGATTTTGGAAAATGGCATTTATAACCTTTTGGGGGGAAAAACCTTTTGGAGATCACAACTTTGTAGAAAAGCATGACCTTTCACAGAAGAGCCAAAAACCCTTTTGGAGTAGAATGTCCTCTTGTGGTATACATCCAGATATAATTAGGCAAGGTCATGGTTTCAGTTCAACTTGGGCCCTCCTGGTGTTTGGGACTCCAACTCCCACCATTCCTAACGACCTCAGGCCCTTTCCTTTCCCCCCTCAGGAGCTTGTGCCACAAAGCAGGCAGCGTAGGCCTCCCTCCTTCAGGCCCAGGTAAGGAATGGCCTTCCCAAGTTCCCTAGCAGGGGCCCCCACTGCTCCTCAATCCGGCTCTGGAGTTGCCTTCTGCCTAGGCCTACTGGGAAGAGCAGTGGCTCTGCCTCGAGTTGAAGCTCAGGGGAAGCAGAGGCCTCTCTCCCCACGCTCTGATCCCTCCCTCTCTCCCTTCCTCCTTCTCCCTTCAGAGCCACCAGCGGTCCTCGCGCCTCCCCTCGGGGCCACCAATCACGGGCGGCGCGTCCCCGTGCAGGCGCGCGCGCACGCATCAACTGCGGCGAGGGGCGGAGACGCGCCTCCCTCTCTCCCTCCCTTCTTCTCTCTGCCCGCGCGAGCCAGGCGCGCCCCCGAGCGTCCTCTCAGCCGCTGACTCCCGAGCCCGCTGAGTGGAGAGCGTCGCGCGAGGTGAGTCAGGAGGAGGGCGAGACCCGGCGGGAGGGGGAGGGGGAGAGGAGGGAGGGGACCCTTCCGTGGGATTCAGGGCGGCGGGAGAGGAAGGGCGAAGGGCCAGGCCGAGAGGGGGATCCCCCAAGGATGCGGAATAAAGGGGCAAAAGGGGGAGGGAGGAGTCGTATGAGGAAGGGATCCCCACTTTATTGGCCGGCGCCGGAGGAACCTCACCTTATTGGCTGACAAGCTGGGATCCCCACCTTATTGGGCTGACGCTGGGGGACACCCCCCCTTATTGGTTGGCTTGGTGGGATCACCATCCTATTGGCTGTTGGATGCTTCTATTCCCCACCTTATTGGCTGACTGGTATGACCCCTACCTGATTGCTCACAGATGCAATTCCCCACCTCATTGGCTGAGGCTGACCCTATTTTACCTGTAGACAGGTGGGATCCCTACATTAATAGCTGAGCAGGTGGAATCCCCACCTTATGGGCTGACCCTAGGGGGAACCCATCTTATTGGCTCACATGATGGTCCTCCTCATAGCCAACAGCTATGGTTCTCACCTTATTAGAAGCCCCCAGTGGCACAGTGAGTTAAACCTGAGAGGTCAGCAATTCAAATATGGGGAGAGCTGGTTGAGCTCCCTCTGTCAGATCCAGCTCCCCATCCAGGGACATGAGAGAAGCCTCCCACAGGGATGGTACAACATCAAAACATCCGGGCCTCCCCTGGTCAACGTCCTTGCAGATGGCCAATTCTCTCACACCAGAAGCAACTTGCAGTTGCTCAAGTCGCTCTTGACACACACAAAAACCTGTGGGCCTTGCACTTTATTGGCTCACATGCTACACCCCTCATCTTATTGACTGACATCTGGAAGCTTTTCAACACAGCCCTATATCCCAGAATATCAAGGCAGAACATCCCATATTATCCGAGTGTGGACTCAGATAACCTAGTTCAAAGCAGATATTGTGGGACTTTTCTGCCTTGATATTCTGGGATATAGGGCTGTGTGGAAGGGCCGTGGGGCTGCAACTCAGGCCCCTTCTACACAGCTGAATGAAATCCCACATTTTCTGCTTTGAACTGGAATATATGGCATTGTGGACTCAGATAATCCAGATCAAGGCAGATCTTGTGGGATATTCTGCCTTGATATTCTGGGTTATAGGGCTGTGTGGAAGGGCCCTCATTGGCCTACACCACATGGGAGTATTTGGAGGTGTGTGTGTGTGTGTGTTCAGGGCTGGTGGCATTTCAGGGGATCTTTCTAGTGGAGGCAAAGGAGAATCTTCAGCTTTGCAGAAGATCCTGGCACATTGGGCTTCTCTCAGGACATTCTCAGGAAGAGGGGATGTGACACCATGGAATATCTGAGCAGAGCAATTAGGGTGACCGAGAGGGAATCTGGAAGGAGCCTGTCTGTGTATGTGTTCAAGGGAAGAGTGATGGAATTATTTTTACAGAATGGAGTCACATTCTAAAAGTTTCAGATGTGGGGAACATCTGCATCATGGTAAGAGGGAGGTCAGCCACAGCAGCCTGGAGAAGATTGACTTCTGTGGTTTTCAGCGGAAAAGTGACTAACTCATTCCTTTTCCCACCCACTTGTTCTTCTCAACACATTTTTAAAAAAATTACAACCCCTACCTGATCCATAAGGACTTACAACACCACATTTGTACTGAACATAAACAACAGCTCACAGGGAGAGGGGGGCATACAACATGGTGGGAGAGCATAGTGAGAACAGTACAACCGTCCTGATTGGATCCCTCCCAATGAGAGATCATGGGATCACATTTTTCCTCAGTGTTTCTCAGACTCAGAGATCGGCACCACTCACTGTTTGTCTTGTTGCCATAAGTGGCTCTCAAGGGAATCACTCAAGCTTCTGTAAAACAACAACAACAACAAAACAAAAATGCTAATTTAAACAGTCCTTGGTGTGTTTAGTAGTTGAAGACCTAAGGGCCTAACCTAAAGGCACCAAATCCCATTAGATCTGGTCAGCCCTGGTTAGGACTTGGGCAAAAGGCTACCAACTAACCCCAGACGCTGTAGGCAGTGTTTCGGAGGAAGGAACTGGCAAAACCACTTTGTCACTATAAGTTGACAAGTGACTTGCTGGCATATACACACAGAGTATAATTAAGCCACCTGCTTGCATATAATCCTTTTAGTTTCCCTCGTTCCGCCCCCCTCCCCTCAAATTTCTTTAGTAACCTGTGTAAATTCCAGCACTTTCTTTATGGACACACTTGTGTCATTTATTACCACAAGGACTCCCCTACTGAGAAGTTTACATTATTCCCACAATAGGATCTTGTGTTTTTCCTAGCTTTCCAAAATATTTTTCTAACTTTAACTGCATCTATGTGCTGGCTACAGATTATGCTACTGAAAATTTGCTGTTAGGGGTCCACAGCCATGTGACAGTAACCTTACTCGAGACAGAACTTTATATCCCCAGCTTACTCAGTATCAACATAGATCTATTTCATGCATGTATTTAGTTCAGGTTTAATAAATAAGTTCTACTTAGTTCAGTGGTACGTACTTCCAGGTAAGTCTGTATAGTTCTCCATCAAGATAGATTTTTAAAATTACTTTTTGGTCTCTAAACTTACAGCAGCTGTTTATTCTGGGCTTGTTTTGAGAAGAATGTAGGTTCAAAGTGTACTGAAAAAGTTTCAGTCCCTGGACTGATGCCAGTCCTTGATATATTTCAGGAAAGAAAGAAACAGTTGAGGAAAAACCTTGGATGGCACCAAAATTCAATAGTTTGGAAGCTCAATTTGGATTCTCCTTTATTTGGCTATAAGGCACGTCGTTATAACAGTTAAGTAAACTGTTGGAGAAGTGCTAATATAACTGAAACTGGAGTTGGTGTAGAGAGAATTTAACTGATTTAACATAATTCAGACAATACTGTCCTAAATTCTTCAGTAGTTTAAGGCCTTGGGGGCAATGGGCAGTGGCTGAGTTCAATGTGCAGTGGCTGTTACAGATGACATTTGAATGGAAAAATCCGTCATTGTGCTGGCTAGGGCTACCGGGTGATCAGCTGCTAGTAACCTGGCTTTTAACCAGCACTGTTGTTTGATGGTATTACGGGATAGAGTTCATTTTACAGGAAGTGCCCCGAGTTACATCCAGTTTATAAATGACTTATAGTTAAGAATGTGGGTGAGACAACAGCAAGTGAGAGAAATCTACTCATCAGAAGGGAAATTCACTTCTGAAAGGGTTATTATGGGGGGAAATGTGTCTCTATTAAAGCTTTCTCACCAATCCTTGTTTCCACAATAAACTGTATTTTCCAAAATCCTTATTGCAGGGGAAGAAGGAGAGGTAAAATCTTCTGAACAGGGGCACAGACACAAAACAAACACCACGTGTGTTCACCCTTCCCTCTTAAAAATGTACCTGTTCAGACTTACTTACAAATTCAACTTATGAAACAAGACTACAGAACCTATCTTGTTCGTAACCTGGGGATTGCCTGTACTTTATATTATCTTTACCTATGGCTGTACTAATCTGTTTGAGACATGACAGTACCAGGGATGTCGTAAGCTTAGGATTATGGATGGTTCATGTTCATAGAGATGTTAGCCACTGAAAGGAACAAATATGTCCCTTCCACTTCCTTGTGGAAACTCCTCAAAATAATGGGTATTTTTAGTCTTTACCTTCATAGCACTGTGATGATAGCCAGGAGAATAGCTTTGAAAGCTGACCAGTTTTGAAGTTTTCAAGTAAAAACCTTCCTGCTTCTTTAAGGAATGGTTGTGAAAGGGCAGCCGGGCTTGAAGGGCTGTGCACGAGCCTTGTGATCTCATCAAGCTGGTACATACAAACCAGGAAGTGGAATACAGCCGAAATAAACAGGATCAGTGGGAAGCAATGAAACAGCTCCCTGAAGTGAGGGATGATTTCATTTTGAAAACAATCAAGGACAGGAGTCAAAGAGATTTATTAGAAAAAACGTGGTGGCATTTTGCCCTTATCATATCTTCCAGGTTTAGTAGTCTTGTTTATCAGTTCCTTAGAATAAGATTCCACTCCTTTGTTTCTGTGGCATATGTTTGGGGAATATACCTAGAATGTATTTCCTCCCCCCCCCCCCAAGCTTTTTTTTAACAATTAGAAATAAAAACACTGAGAGTGAAGTTATATTTCAGTGGACTTGCTATTACAGTCCACTGCAAAATGTATTTGCATTTAGACAGTGATCAGTGTGACTGTATGATGTCACACTGAAACTGTAGATTCCTATGTGAGGAATGTTGATTTTTTGTCTTTAATAGGTAAAGGTAAAGGTTTTCCCCTGACATTAAGTCTAGTTGTGTCCGACTCTGGAGCCTGGTGCTCATCTCCATTTCTAAGCCGAAGAGCCATCATTGTAGATGTCTCCAAGGTCATGTGGCCGGCATGACTGTATGGGACACCAAAACCTTCCCACTGGAACAGTACCTATTGATCTACTTGCATCTGCATGTTTTCGAATTACTAGAAACTGGGGCTAATAGTGGGAGCTCACCCTGTTCCCTGGATTCGAACTGCCGACCTTTCAGTCAGCAAGTTCAGCAGCTCAGCGGGTTTAACTCACTGTGCCACCGGTGGTTCCTTCAATTGTCTTTAATATTATTTATTTATTCCTTCAAAAATACTGAGGGAAAGGCAGTGTGATTTGGGCATTGGATTGTGACTGTTTGATACCCACTGGGAGACCTTAGGAAAGCCACACTTTCTCAGCCTCAGAGGAAGGTAAGGGCAAACCTCTTCTGAACAAAACTTGATAAGCAGACCCTGTGATAAATTCACCTTGGGGTCACCATATGTCGGAACTAACTTAAATGCACTCAATATAATACATCCTTTGTTAGGATGAAGTACAATGACTGAAATTACCCAGATGTTTTGGGAATGGTTTGATGGCATGAGTCAGTAACCTGCTTTAGCAATTCTGAGGCGGATTAGTTCTTGGAAGGAAGAAGGCAGTTTTGTAACCCTCCATAAGCCCTACCTGGGAAAGTACATCTCAAAACGGGTGACATTTATTGGAGGCAATTACTGGACAGGGGATGGCATATGATTACGTACTCGCCTGCGGATTGTCTTCTAACATTGGTTCTCCAAGAGAAATGGGTGGTGAGGAACCAGGCAGTAAATCTAAAACCAATTCCCCTTGTGTTTAGCCTGCATTAGGTAGGGTTGCATTTGTGGGTGATCTTGGGTTGCAGTTCCCATCAGTCCTTAGCCAGTATTTGGAATCAAGATCCAAGATCATACATTCCCCAGCACTGCCTAAAAGGATCAGATAATAATCTGGTAGTTTGGGAGTGCTTCTTAATTCAACATTGTTAGTGACGTAAGCATTGTCTGTGTGACTCAAACTTATTTTCACCTGACAGTTGCATCCTTACTCGGTTATTTGATTTTAGTTTTCTTTTTATTTATACCCTGCCTTTCTCTCCCTAAGGAAGCTTAGAACATAGACTGAAATGGAATACAGCTAGAATAAATTGTCAAAACAAAGAACAATTAAATGATTAATTATAGTAAAACCTGCTCTGCATTAAAAACAAATTGCAAGCCCTTAAAGCATATCAGATGAGGAAAAAGTACATCTCTCCACCATTAAAATCCCCATTGTCATAACCAGTTAATAGCTAATATCCTGCCTACATAAAAAGTCATTGGTTGCTGCTTGAGAGGGCGAGAACTTAGTTTTTTAAGCAGAGAAGGTGAGAACTTAGCTTTTTAAGGGAGAGAGTACCAAAGATCAAGAGAAGCCACCACAAAGGCCCTCTCCCATGTCACCACACTTGCATGTGATGATGCTTGAGGGAGAGAAAGAACAAGGATTCCTACACACTTTGGCAGGTTGTATGGAGAGGTGTGGTCTTTCAGATAGTTTCCCATAGACCTTCCAAGATAGGGCTTTATTGATCATAATCAGCACTTTGAATAGTGTCCAGAGATGTACTGAAGGCCATGTTATAACAAAAGAGTTAAAGTGAGCCCTCTGAACCCACAAGTCCAGATCTGTAATTTCCAAAAACTCCAGATTATTGTGCCCCAAATTAGCAAATGCAAGTAATGTAACTACGTACATACACGTGAAGCGTGAATGTTCATGTTGGCCACATTTAATAAAATGGGACAGTATTTTTTTGTATCTGTGGTAAGTCACAGACTCAAACCTCATGGATATGGCAGGCTTCTATGTTTTCTTGTAAACAATGTTTGTCAACAGCTGATATTTCATAGTAATAATAATGATAATAATAATCATAATCATAAATATTTATTACTCTGAATGGTTCGATGTGAGGTACAACATAGTCAAACATGTATGAACATAAAATATATACAATAAATTACATAGATAAAAACAAACATTTAAAAAATCTTTCATCAAATGCCTATACAGAATTGACATATAGTAGCAATAGAATATAAATCAAAATAAATGCAACATTCCTGCTTCTTGGCAGGGGGTTGGACTGGATGGCCCATGAGGTCTCTTCCAACTCTTTGATTCTATGAAAACTCATGATTGAAAGTTGATTGGGTAGACCTGCCAGAAGAGATGGGTCTTCAATTGTGTTTTAAATTCCAACAACTCAATTAACTGTCAGATCTCTTCTGACAGGTCATTCTACAGTTGTGGAATAGTATATAATAATATTAATAATATAATCATTGATAATATAATAATATATATTAGAAATCACCCTTACATATAATTCAATAATAATAATAATAATAATAATAATAATAATAATAATAATAATAATAATAAATTATCATAACATAGTGCATTATATTTAAGGTTACTTATTGGAACTGGAATAGTTTGATCATTGACCATGTAACATTTTTGCTTTGCTAGCTGCAATGTCTTCCAGTTCATTTCTGGGTCTAATTTGAAGTGCTGATTTGAAAGTTAAAATCTGAAAAGGTCTGGGACATGAAAGGCCATACTCTTTAATATGTACCTGTCTTCATTGTAGATCTTTCTTAAAGGCCCAACTCTTGGTACCTCCACTAACTGGTGAGCCAGATAACTATGAGGCCCCTTCTACACTGTCATATAAAATCCATATTATCCACTTTGAACTGGATTATATGGCAGTGTATAAGAGGCCTCAGAGAGAGGGCCTTTTGGTAGTGGCACTCCAGTGGCACCCCATTTGCCAGGAGCCATCTTTTCAGTTCATTTGGCAATTTATGTTTGCATATGCTTTAGAAATAGCTCATTCAGTTTCGTCAGCTCAGTTTTAAAATGTGTATATTTTAATTCTGGATTATAGTGAGTTCTGCTTCCTTCCCTTTTTCCTCAAATTGCATGGTTTATTTCTATTTTGTGTTGAAGTTGCTTTTTGACTGTTTTTTTTATATGCCTCTTAGTTACATTTGTTTTGTATGCAACAAATGTGCAAATAATGTACAAATAAATAAATATGCTGGTGATGAGATCGGATTTGGGGGTCATTCAACTAGTGGTGTAAGGGAAAGAGGAAATTTTAATAAGACCTTGATGTCTACTTTTTCAGAGAAGCAAATCTGGATGAAAGGTCTTTGGGAGAGACAATGAACTACTGCTAGGCAGTCCATTCTGCTGTTTTTTCTAAGTAAGTACAAAACTGTTTGAAAGATGGGAGTGTAAATGTAAAACTAAGGATGATTTACACTGTAAAAATAATGCAGTTTGGCACCACTTTAGCTGCCGTGGCTCAATACTATGGGATCATGTAAATTGTAGCTTTACAAGCTTTGTAGTCTTCTTTGCCAAAAAGGGCTGGTGCCTCAAAAGATTGCAAATTCCAGGATTCTGTAGCATTCTGGACATTCTATTGCCAGCATGATTTCTTGGAGTGCCTGTTTGCCTTCCTTCCAAGGCGGTACCTATTGATCTACTCACATTTGTATGTTTTCAGACTGCTAGGTTGGTGGGAGCTGGGGCTAACAGCGGAAACTTATCCTAACCCACAGTTTTCCCTTTATAAGTAGTTTATTTGTACAATGGTTTCAAGGAAGTGAATATGTTGTGTGGATTGTTCCAGGCTCAGGTTAATGGGTGGAAGTTAGGCACCCACATCACACCACACCACAGTACTATATACAAACATATTCTGATTTGGAACAATACTACCTCAGATGCCCAAAAAACTCATTTACCTATGGTTTCTTGATGACATCTTTGTAATTTGGTTACATGGGAAACAATAACTAGAGAAGTTCTTCCAGAATTTAAATAATTTTCACAACTCTGTACTATATCTGAAGAAGTGAGGTTATATCCATGAAAGATCAAAATAAAAATCAGTTTGAGGGTGATGCCACATTTCCTTTCCCTTCTCCCCCTTCCTTCTTTCTTTCTTAGGAGGGAAAAACTTTTAATGCCCGCTACACTAAATCAGAATTTTCATTTACTACTTATTTGATGTAATCATTATTGTTTGATAATCACATTTTTTTTTAAAGATGGGAAACATACTGTTTTAAAATACAAATGCCTGGTTAGTTCAGTACAGGAACTGTAAGAAAATATCTCAGTCTGCTTGTGTCAGAATCTGGGAGCAGCATGTATTTTCAAGTAAGATGTAATACACTCTGTTCCAAAATTAAGTGATATTTTTCAAGGGCAGATTTTCTTTCCTCCATTGTTTTTGCTCTCTGCTAATCTCACCAAGGTGGATAGTAGCCGGCCTTATCTTTGCACTGTAAACTAGGAGAAGACTTTTATTTTTTGTCAAATCCAACAAACAGTTGCTGAGGTGGAATATTTTTCAGAGCATTTTCGTTTGTTAAAGATTTATGTCTGCATTTGGTTTCAAAATCACTGTGACTTCACGGAAGCTTTTATAAAAGACTTCCTGGTAGGGGTTGTGGTGGGGATCTAAGCTAAACTTCTGTGTAGCTGTAGGAGAAAGCAGGTTGCGTCAACAGTGTCTAATCTTTGTTCTTCTCTCTTATCACTAGTTAATACCTGAAGCTTGAGGCACCAGGAGTCATGTCAGACTGGCTGCTCATTGGATTGTTCTTGGCACTGGTTGTTCTTCTGCTGCTGACGATCTTTGGTTTTGCTGTGTATTCGGGACTCTTTGCAGAAGTGGTTGTCAGCGCTGGCTTGCCCCCAGTTGGGAACATCACTGTAGCATACAAATTTCAGATTGGACCATATGGTGATAGTGGAAGACTGTTCACAGAGAGCTGCAGCATCTCTCCAAAGTTGTGGTCCATTGCTGTGTACTATGACAATCCTCACACAGTAAGTCACATTGAGAACTCAGTCAATATTTAATGATCATAATGCAGTACAGGAATCTCCTGAAATGATGTTAATTCTTTTTATTTTGATAATTTAAACTTTCATGTTATTTAATAGGATTGGTTTATTTCTTTTCTTCTGATACACCCCCCCCCCCCCCCCCCCCCGCACCATTATAGCTTGCTTTTTGAACAGTTATGAAATACTGGTGAGCAAGTTCTACTATTTTTCCAAGGCTTTCTATCACCATCTATTTTATGTGCATATTTCTTCATTGTGTTCAGTATAGTAATTTCTGTCCCGCTATGCATATTCACAAGTGTGGACATTCATGCTCAACATTTTTCCAGTATTAATGGTTTTATTTTCCTTTATTTATTTTTTTAAATTGGCAAAGTGTTTCCTAGTCATTTGATCTGTACGTACATAGTCTATATTTCTTGGGGCCCTTCCACACAGCCCTATATCCCAGATTATCAAGGCATAAAATCCCACAATATCTGCTTTGAACTGGGTTATCTGAGTCCACACTCAGATAATGTGGGATTTCCTGCCTTTATATTCTGGGAGGTGCCAAGGTGGGAAGTCTGCCAAGGTGGGAAGTCAAATGACAACTGGGATCACAGGCAAGCATGGTCTGGGAGAACAAAATGAAGCGGGACGCAGGCTGATAGAATTTTGCCAGGAAAACTCGCTGTGTATAACTAATACTCTCTTCCAACAACCTAAAAGAGGGCTTTATACATGGACCTCACCAGACGGTCAACACCGAAATCAGATTGACTACATCCTTTGCAGCCAAAGGTGGCGGACATCCATCCAGTCGGTGAAAACAAGACCTGGGGCTGACTGTAGCTCAGATCACGAACTGCTTATTGCCCAATTTAGAATAAAACTAAAGAGATCAGGGAAAATACACAGACCAGTTAGATATGATCTCACTAACATTCCTAGCGAATATACAGTGGAAGTGAAGAACAGATTTGAAGGACTAGATTTAGTAAACAGAGTCCCAGAAGAACTATGGACAGAAGCCCGAGACATTGTTCAGGAGGCGGCAACAAAGTACATCCCAAAGAAAAAGAAAACCAAGAAGGCAAAATGGTTGTCTGCTGAGACACTGGAAGTAGCCCAAGAAAGGAGGAAAGCAAAAGGAAACAGGGATAAGGGGAGATATGCCCAGTTAAATGCGCAATTCCAGAGGTTAGCCAGAAGAGATAAGGAACTATTTTTAAATAAGCAATGCATGGACGTGGAAGAAGACAGCAGAATAGGAAGGACAAGAGACCTCTTCCAGAAAATTAGAAACATTGGAGGTAAATTTCAGGCAAAAATTGGTATGATAAGAAACAAAGATGGCAGGGACCTAACAGAAGCTGAAGAGATCAAGAGAAGGTGGCGAGACTATACAGAAGATCTGTATAGGAAGGATAATAATATTGAGGATAGTTTTGACGGTGTGGTGAATGAATTAGAACCAGACATCCTGAGGAGTGAGGTTGAATGGGCCTTAAGAAGCATTGCTAACAACAAGGCAGCAGGAGACGACGGGATCCCAGCTGAACTGTTTAAAATCTAAAAAGATGATGCTGTCAAGGTGATGCATGCCATTTGCCAGCAAATATGGAAAACACAAGAATGGCCATCAGACTGGAAAAAATCAACTTATATCCTCATACCAAAAAAGGGAAATGCGAAAGACTGCTCAAACTTCCGTACAGTGGCCCTTATTTCTCATGCCAGTAAGGTAATGCTCAAGATCCTGCAAGGAAGACTCCAGCAATACATGGAGCGAGAGTTGCCAGATGTTCAAGCTGGGTTTAGAAAAGGCAGAGGAACGAGAGACCAGATTGCCAATATCCGCTGGATAATGGAGAAAGGCAGAGAGTTTCAGAAAAACATCTACTTCTGCTTCATTGACTATTCTAAAGCCTTTGACTGTGTGGATCATAATAAATTGTGGCAAGTTCTTGGTGGGATGGGCATCCCAAGCCACCTTGTCTCTCTCCTGAGGAATCTGTACAAGGACCAAGTAGAACAGTAAGAACTGACCATGGAACAACAGACTGGTTCAAGATTGGGAAAGGCGTACGGCAAGGCTGCATACTCTCACCCAACCTTTTTAACTTGTATGCAAACACATCATGCGATGTGCGGGGCTTGATGAATGCAAAGCTGGGGGAAAATTGCTGGAAGAAACATTAACAACCTCAGATATGCAGATGACACCACTCTGATGGCCGAAAGCGAGGAGGAGCTGAGGAGCCTTCTAATCAAGGTGAAAGAAGAAAGCGCAAAAGCCAGGTTGCAGCTAAACGTCAAAAAAACCAAGATTATGGCAACAAGAATGATTGACAACTGGAAAATAGAGGGAGAAACCGTGGAGGCCGTGACAGACTTTGTATTTCTAGGGGCAAAGATTACTGCAGATGCAGACTGTAGCCATGAAATCAGAAGACGCTTACTTCTTGGGAGGAGAGCAATGTCCAATCTCGATAAAATAGTAAAGAGTAGAGACATCAGACTGGCAACAAAGATCCGCCTAGTCAAAGCCATGGTATTCCCTGTAGTAACCTACGGATGTGAGAGCTGGACCTTAGGGAAGGCTGAGCGAAGCAAGATCGATGCTTTTGAGCTGTGGTGTTGGAGGAAAGTTCTGAGAGTGCCTTGGACTGCGAGAAGATCCAACCAGTCCATCCTCCAGGAAATAAAGCCCGACTGCTCACTGGAGGGAAAGATACTAGAGACAAAGTTGAAGTCCTTTGGCCACATCATGAGGAGACAGCAAAGCCTGGAGAAGGGAATGATGCTGGGGAAAGTGGAAGGCAAAAGGAAGAGGGGCCGACCAAGGGCAAGATGGATGGATGGCATCCTTGAAGTGACTGGACTGACCTTGAGGGAGCTGGGGGTGGTAACGGCCGAAAGGGAGCTCTGGCGTGGGCTGGTCCATGAGGTCACGAAGAGTCGGAGACGACTGAACGAATGAACAACAACAACATATTCTGGGATATAGGGCTTTGTGTAAGGGCCCTTAGAGGCCAGTTGAGCTGAAGCCATTTCATTTTTCTGGTTCTACGTCTGTACTTTATTCAAGTATTATAGCCTTTCCATTCTCTGAAATTAGGGTAGTCAGGCCAGAGAGCTTGTGCCATCATCTCCTGAAGAGAACTATGACCTGAGAGAAAGTTGCTTTGCTTTTTTTGTTACATTAGATTTTTTAATTTTAAGATGGGTGGTTGTGGTGGCAGAATGACAGTAAATAAATGTGTTCTGTGGATGAATAGTTGATTGTTTACTGAGAAATTGTGATTCCATTTCTCTTTAGATCTGTTGAACATTTATTGGAGATAACACACCATTGGCAAAGAGTGTAGTTTTAAAGGGAAGAGTAACAAATAGGTTGCAGACCTCCCATTAGGCTGACAGAAAGCATTTGCTCTCTAAAGCATGAGTTTTGTCTCTTCCCTTACATTTTGTCAAACCGTTTTAACTAAGCATATGAAAATTGTATCGCATGTTTTATCATTTGGTTTTAGTGGAATTGTGAGGCCCTAAGGAAATGGCAAGACATTCCTGTAGAACAAGCCGATGACTCAAAGCTAGGTCAGAGGTCTGCTAAGTGTTTGCTTGGATTCAGAATTGATTAAGCATGAAAAGAGTAATGAGACTTGTTGATTATTTCTATCCATTTGACTTACTTCTTTAGAGAAGATACTCCTAGAATTGTTTTGGTATCACCCCTGTCTTGTGGCTACCAAGAGGTGGAATTGCCATGAAGAGTGACAGCAAATCATGAAACCTGCACATGATAGTTTAGATGCTTGTCCCTTTCTTCCTAAGAATATCTTCTTTTGGTTTTCTGTCTTGTAAATCTCTCTTTAATTGAGGCATAGAGCTTTTGACAGTGGTCACAGTTCAAAGAATTATGCCACTTCCTCCATGTATCATACATACACCGAAAATAAAACAACAGCAGTCTTCTGTGGTCTGAATTAAGTCTTTATAGCTTTTTGTGGTACAGTGTTGGAGATGCTGTTCCAGAGAGTCAGATTTCCAATTCAACATTTTGAATTCAGTGCGCCTCCTCCTTGGTACTTTCTTTATTAAGGAAAAGTTCAGCTAGACTTGGATCTATTATTTGCTTGTTGATTGTTGACAGCCTGATCCACATTTAAGGGGCCACCGCTGAGAATGGCTGGAATGGCCCTTAGAGGACACTTTAGGGAGTTAGTTCTATAGCATGTGTCTCTCTCTGAAATAGGTCTGGTCTGGTGTCAGTACCTGTCACCCACAGCAAATTTCAAAAAGCTACAGCCAGCACTGGCAACAATATCAGCCTCACGTCACCGTCCGGTCAGCCTCACGTCGATACCGGGCAAGATTCTGGAAAAGATTGTTAAGGAAGCGGTCTGCAAACACTTAGAAACAAATGCAGTCATCGCTAATAGTCAACATGGATTCATCAAAAACAAGTCTTGCCAGAATAATCTGATCTCTTTTCTTCGATAGAGTTACAATAATAACTGGGTAGATGTGGGGAATGCTGTGGATGTAGCTTACCTGGATTCCAGTAATGCCTTTGACAAGGTCCCCCATGACCTTCTGGCAAGGAAACTAGTCCAATGTGGGCTAGGCAAAACTACGGTGAGGTGGATCTGTAATTGGTTAAGTGGACGAACACAGAGAGTGCTCACTAATGCTTCCTCTTCATCTTGGAAAGAAGTGACAAGTGGAGTGCCGCAGGGTTCCGTCCTGTGCCCGGTCCTGTTCAACATCTTTATTAACGACTTAGATGAAGGGCTAGAAGGCATGATCATCAAGTTTGCAAAAGACACCAAATTGGGAGGGATAGCCAATACTCCAGAGGACAGGAGCAGGATTCAAAACGATCTTGACAGATTAGAGAGATGGGCCCAAACTAACAAAATGAAGTTCAACAGTGACAAATGCAAGATACTCCACTTTGGCAGAAAAAATGAAATGCAAAGATACAGAATGGG